ATTAATTAAAAAAGAAAAGAAAAAGAAAACCTACTTGCCACTAAAACAAATTCAATACATCTCTGTGTGTCTGAAAAACAGACTATTTAAGTAAAAGTATTCAATACCAGACCCAAATGTCAGAAGAAATTAAGATTTTTTTCCACTACAATAAATACCTAGAGATTAAAGGGAAAGGTTTGGCTTAGAGAATATATATTATTCACTTCAATTTTAGGATGGTGTTTACCAAAATATCATAAATACTTAATAGCAACTGCTCCCAGTGCTTCCAGCAAAAAGCAGTAAAATGAAACATAAAACTCAGCTGTGCAACCCCTGCGCCTGGGATTGCATTTCACACTCCCTTCCCCTGCCCCCGTTAGGGTCGCCCAGATTCTAATGATCCCCAGAGACAGCTCTACTGAATTCCAAAAAGAAGTAATATGAGCTCCAGTGAAACCATTAATCATGAAAATGGAGAAAACAACAGCAATCAAACAGTCCGTCGCTTGTTCAGGTTGCCTTACTGATCGCTAAGAAATCCCATAGTGGGAAGGAGTGAGTAATCACATTGCAATCCAAATTTTTATTTTACTTTTTTTTTCTATAATCCTATAAAACTTTCAAGATATCAAAACAGTTAAGGACTCCATGCCCAATGGGAAGATGTGTCTGAGGCCGTTTATGAAAACCTTAAAACTTGAAATCACAAACCCAGACTCACCGAGCACCACCTGCAAGATTGAATACCAAATCTCACTGACAAGCAAAAGGCAATCCTCAGCATTACACTGCATACTCAACACCAAGCACAGCACCTTCTTACCCCCTTCCCTCAAGAAACTATCATGATCTGCCCTGGAATCAAGGTTTATAACTTAAAAATATATCTAACATCATGCTCTTCCCCCGATGCCAGAAATTTACTCACAGAATTAATTACTCCTTTGAGAGCTTGAAAACCACCTTTGACTGGGAAAACTTGTTCTTTGGAATCAGCAATTCTTTCCAGCTTTAGGGGGGAAAGAGGGGAAAAATCAATTAAGGGGTGATCAAGATACAACCAAAACTAAACCCTTTGCCATCAAGTCGTTCCAGCTCACAGTGACCCTACAGGAGAGAGCAGAACTGTCCTTGGAGTAGAAATCTCATCTTTCTCCCGAAGAGCTGCTGCTGGTTTTGAACTGTTAACCTTGTGGTTAGCAGGCCAATAAGTGACCCAGTACACCACCAGGTCTCCCCATAACTGCCGCATGGGTTTTCCAATTACAGAAGCAGACTGCTACATCTTTCTCCCACAAGTTGGTTAGTGGGTTTATACCACCAGTCTTTCAGTTTACAGCCAAATGCTGAACCACTACACCACTAAGAAACCCTGGTTAAGACCTAAACAATACTTTAGAAATGTCTTTTTTTTGTTTAAGTTCACCTGAAAAATTAATCTGCCACAGTGTGGCTTGTGGGAGAGGTCAGTGACTGTAAGTAGCAGCGATGGTGCTGCCTAACGTCCACCACAGAATGAACTGAGCTCAGTTACAGCAACTTTGCAAAGCGTAGAGCTCTACGATCTGTACTGGGCTTGAGTCATGGGAGTTTGGGCCATGCTCAACCCAAAATTTAAATGCAAGATCCATTTGTGAGTGCAAAATTACTTTTTCAAGTATATAATCCCTTAATGCTCTATCAAAAGTACACTTAATTCTTAAAAAGTCTAAAAAAATTTTTTTTTCAAGATTTCTCCTAATGAACTTTCTAAATTCCTGCACATCTGAGACAAGTTTTAAAACCCTGCACAATAATCTGGTCAACTGAGTGAAATAAGAGAAGCACTAATCATTTTAGTTCAATACAAAATTTTATCTTTAGATTAGTTGCCCAAATCAAGTCAGGATTATTCAGATTTTCATTTTCAGTAATGAAATCTATCATTATTCATAAATTGCTTGTGTTGAGTTCAAGATATACAACCAAGAACTTAATAGTTGTATAGAAAAATAACTAACAATCAATTAACATCAAGAGTTGCCTGTGAAAATATTGTGAGAAATCATCCTTCCTAGAATGATGTAATTTAGATTAAAATTTTCAGATCTATTGTACTCACCTGTTCTTGTACAAAATCAAGGACACCAACACAATAAACTCTAGCCCCAAGTGACCTCGCTATTTTTGCCTATTGCAGAGGAGAGAGAGAGAGGGGTGAATTCTTCAAATATTACAGAGCACACGCTGAGACATACAACAGAGCACAGCAGGGAGTCCAGAGCCAGTCTCAGTTAGACACTCACCTCCTTCTCTGCATACAATGGCACCAGACCTTCCAGCTGCCCATCTGTCAGAGCAATCATGATGCTGGAGGTTTTTAAGCCTCCTGCTTTCTGAAGTTGTTCATTTGCCTGAAAATGAGGAAGAAGTATCCAACTCATAATTTAATTTTAACTCTGAACCACTATGGTTCATCGAGCCAAATTTGTATATTTGACACAATCAAAACATTACTAACTGGCCTTCAATAAAACCATGTCCTTGTATTAACTCTATTTTATTTGAAATAGTCGTAGCTTCATGAAAGAGTCATAAATACCGGGTTTAAGGGACACAATTTTGGGGGTTTTTTGGAACTATGGCTGACTATTTTGAATGTAACCCTGAAAACAAGGAAAATTCCTAAACAGGCAAAGATAAATCTAAATTGTTCTTATCACCACTACAAGCTCATTTTTCCACACTAATGTTCACTCTCATCCCTCACATGAACTCGGTCATTGAGTTGGTCCCAATTTAAAGCAACCCTCAAAAAAATGCACTACCATAAAGTTGTTTCTGACTCATAGCGACCCTATTTGTCCAAGCAGATGTGCCCCTGAGGGTTTCCGTGACTGCACATCTTTACGGGGGTAGACATCACCTCTTTCTCCAAAAGAGCAGCTGGTGGATTCGAACTGCTGACCTTTCAGTTAGCAGCCCAATGTGTAACCACCATGCTAGCCAGATACCTTCCAGGGAGCCTTTACTCTCATGACTAGAACTATTAAATGTGAACACAGAGCAAAAAAATATAAACAGGCAGGTGGGCTTTTGAGCTTGCTTGTGAATACAGTACTTTCTCTCCCACGCTAAAAAACTTAAGCAAACTTACTAGCTTTAGTCCTTCATGAATATATGTCACTCCTCCGGGTTGAACTTGTTTTAAGTCCGCCAACCCTTTGGCAATTTCACCTCTGAAAATAACATATCATAGCATTAAACAAAAGGAAATAAACAAAGATCACCATAAACGCTTCTCTAAAGACATGGCAGAACTGCAACTCAGCATTCCTTAATAAAAAGTAGAAAAAGAACATCAGCTTCGAAAGCAGATAGCTCCTCACACCGTTTCACTACTTAAATGAGAAGTTAGTAATTTCTGTATTAAAATTATAAAAATGAGAAACAGTAACAACGTGAAATGGCTTTTAAAACCAAAGCCTATTTTAGGCATTTTTCACGGAGAGCGGATAACGTCAATCATACTGGTTCTACTAAATGTCAGAGTAAAACTTTTTTCCCCTTTTTCCACCAAAAACACAAACACAAGGATTAAGTAGTTCGGCTTTGGCACTTGCTCCAAAAGCATCTGTGCAATGTTCACATCTCCTCACCAAAAGTACGGAATTTCCCCGGCCATTTCTAAATTTCGTAACCATTGTTTACAGAAACTAACCATTTGCACTTGTATTCGCTGGGGTCATAAGTCTCCTGATTCAGTCACTTCATGGTACCTCCACACTCACCCAGACACCAGCACATTCTCCTTAGGCACTGAATACCTATTTGATGAGTGAACGTCTGGACAGATTGATGCATGCATACATGTATGGATAGGTAGTAGTAATTATAAAAATAAGAAAAGTCATAGCATGATTTTCTTGACTATTTATTTTCCCAGTGGAATATGTCTAAATGGAAAGAAGTAGAGAAAGTGGTCTTTCAAAAGAGAAAAGTCTTAAAATAATAAAGTACAGTGTCAACAAAGAAACATACACAATTCAAACAGTATGGACAATGAGAAATGGAAGGCGATTCACATTAAGAAGAGTTATCATCTGGCATCAAGGAAACTTACTGGTCTCTCTCTCTCTCCCCCTCTCTCTCTCACACGCACACACACATGCACTATTATATCAAAAAATAATCTAAACTTATTTTGTTATATAAAATATTTAAAATAAATCAGCATCCAAAGAACCTTAGGCACTCTGTTTACATATTAATTTCTGATATAAATTGATTAACAAACAAGTCCTCCATTCTCAAGAACTTTTTTCCTGCTTAAAAAAAACGGGGGGGGGGGGCCGGGGGGGAGCTGCTTAAAAAAAACACCTGAAAGCATGAGGCTAATCTTCCCTTTTCATAGTCCAGTCATCTCCACCCATGCACGCTGCCTTGCTGATGTAACACCAGGTTCAAAACCTACGGGCCTGTGGACCGTTCTCTTTGTCACAGTCATTTCTCTGTCGTGCCCCAGGTTTCCTCTCCACACCCATTTCAATGCGGACTCTGATCATCATTTTGTTTATTTTCTATTTTAAAATAATTTAATTCATTTAATCTCATATTCTTACTTCTTAACTAACCTGGAAGTTTAGAATAGGCTATCGCTATGTGTTTTATTTCAAATGTATCTCTCTCATATATAGGCTTACTTATTATGATGCCCACTGCAAAATTTTCAATCCACTATTTGAAAATTCATACTTATACAGATGACTGAGTAAATTACAAAAATGTATAATCTTGTTTTATCTAAATATTTATGTTCAATAGCTTCAGAAATGACTTGAAACTGATTCTATATGCACATAGATATAAACCCAATAGTTAGTGCTTCCCAGAATTGAGTGGCAATGTGTCCATAAGCATTAATGTTTGCTGCCAAAAGGGAAAAAAGACAACTGAAATTCAAGTTTGCACAAATAGATTTTGCTGACAAAAAGAGCCTTCTCCATTCAGTTCAGATTCAGATCTCCGTTACTTCAGCTCACCTAATCATCTACAAGAAAATTCTCAGGTTAGTAGAAAACAGTTAGGGGGTGCTGTGGGTGGCAACCACTTTTGGGATCAAATGACCCTTTCACAGGGGTCGCCCAATTTATAACAGTAGCAAAATTACAGTTATGAAATAGCAACAAAAATAATTTTATGGTTGAGGGGTCACCACAACATGAGGAATATTATTAAAGGTTCGCAGCATTAGGAAGGTTGAGAACCACTGCTATAGATGGTATTAGAACTTAAATTGTAAGCACTAGGGTTACAGAGGGGTACAGTTTACTGCAGGTTAAAGTAGGAACCCTAAATCATTTTGGTATTCACTCAGATTCAACCTCCATTGAGTTTTTTCTGACCACTAATCACTAGTGTGAAAAACTTTGCCCTCGGGGAGAGTGTGTATAGAAGTGGATTCCTACCAAGGTCTTACCCAGTCCCCACCCTCTGGGACTTGCCTAGGTGTGTCACTGATGCAAATTGGGGAACTCCAGTTCATAGTCATGGGTCACACCCTGACCGCCTTGACTGCAGTGCATTGACCCAAACTTGTTGCAATAATGCACGTGTATGTCCCAATCATGGTCCCTTTCCTGCTTCTGTCGTCCCACCTGCAATTGTGATGAACGGATCTGCTGCCACTCGTGATATGGTGACAGTTTCCTCTGATCTCTGTGTCCTTCCTTATATGTCCGACATTCGGGGAATTAGTGGACACCAGTATGCCATCATGCTGATGGTCTTCCGCATCCAGCAGGATTCATTTTGTCTTTGTCTTATCATTGTCTGATTAAGATCGAATTATATTTGAAATCGGGCTCTCTTTTCTCTGCTAGAACAAGGTTAAAAAAGAACTTATTGATTTGCACTGTCACCTTGAAGAAAACTCAAAAGGAAAGCATGAGAAAAAATAATAAAGGCAAAAAGTGGATTTGTTGGTTTGTTTGTTTTTAATCCAATATCATTGAAGCTCAATTTCACTGAGTGTGACTATTAAGCTATGTCTTCAACTAGAAGCAACAGTAACATTGAATCATCTTTAGTATTTGTTATGAAGCTGTTGCCAAGGATTGACATGCAATGTACCCCACAGGGTATTACGCAGAAGCTTCGCTGTCACTCCTGAGTAATCGCTGTACACTTCCTCTTTGCTGCTAGTAATACCTATGTAAATGCTGTCTAGTTCTTTCTCTGCCTATGGAGAACTTCATAATAAAAGTCGTACTTATTCATGGTAATTCGGCTAAATTCCTATGGTTTTATCACATTGCTACATTTCCAAGATTGAGATATATATATGAATATATACATAGTTATATTGTTACACTCTATGCAGTTTCAAATACTTTTTGAAAAGAAACAGTTATTTTAACAAATAAAATATTAAACCTCTGATTTTTTAAATTGTGAATCAGAAAATCAACTTTATAATTCATTTTCTCCTTTACTTAATGTTTGAATAAGGAGAAAAGAAAGCACATACTTCCTCATTTTTTAAATCTATGAAATTAACTGATACTGCATTTCTAAAATTCTGCAGCATAGGGAAAGGAAGTAGGAGAACGGGAGGAAACATTACAGCCACAACTAGCTGCCGTGCAGTGCTTTTCGGCAACCACACAGCACTCTGAACATACGCGTGACTCCCAAGGGCAGACTACCGTTACAGGAGGCACACAGGAAACTTGTGCTTAGCATGCTTCCTGGATAATCTAACATGAATGTCTTCCTAATGAAAACAACAATCGATGAGAAAGTCCAACAAAATGTATTATCATGGAATTGATTCAAACTCATAGCAACCTTATAGGTCAGAAAAGATTGTTCCCTATGATTTCTGAGCCTTTAATTTTTTTCCCCAACAGTTTTATTGGCATATCATACAATTCAATAGTTCAGTCACACCTCAAGAAGAATTGTACAGCCATCACCACAATGTTTTAGAATTATTTTCTTCATTCTTATGCTCATCATTATTAGCTCCTCATTTTGCCCCAACTTCCCCTGACATACTTCCAAGGAACCATTAATCCAGTTTCTGTCTCTATAGATTTACCTACCCTGGATTTCATGCACAGGAAAACATAAACAAACTAAACAAACAAGAATAACAAAGTAAACAGATTATATTTTAACAGAGGTAGATGGTGGATTCCAACAGGCCCTATAGGGCCACCACCGCTCCTGATATTCTGAGATAATGGCCTAAATAAAATGGCAGAGAATTCTGACATATTCAACTAACACAATTAATGTATCATGTGAAGTACATCTTAACAATGAATAGTGGCAGAGGTATGCAGCGGTTTACACATGGGGCTGCTAACCGCCTTGTCTGCAGTTCAAACCACCAGCTGCTCCTGGTCCACCGGGAACGGGGTGGTGGTCTGAGAAAGAGGAGACTTTCTGCTCCAGTAAAGATTGACAGCCTCGTCAGCTCAAAGGGGCAGTTCCGCTCAATGGTGTCAATTCACTGAGTCGAAACTGGCTCCACGGCACTGAGTAGTTTTTGTGTTCAGGTTGAGTGTACACAGTGGCTCTGCACTGTGCCCTATCGCACGAGGAAGGGGTGTGTTTGGATTGTGGGCTGGAGAAGAACACTGGAAGTACGTGAACTGCTAAGAGGACAAAGCGCTCGGTCTTGGAAGTGTGGCCACAGTGCTTCTGGAGGCCAGGATGCTGAAACTTCGTCTTACCTATACCAGACGTGTTGTCAAGAGAGGCCAGTTCTTGAGAAGGACATCACGCTTGGTAAAGTAGAGAAGCAGCAAAAAAAGGAAGGCCCTCAAGGAGATGGATTACCCCCATGGCTGTAACAATGGGCTCAGGTGTAGGAACAACTGTGAGGATAAAATCTTTACAGATTTCAGTCACTTATCTGGGAACGATTGTTGACATGTAATCCAGCCAGTACTTTCAAATAGGATGGTCAGTTTTTAAAAAAAGGCTTGCTTCTAAGGTTCTAGTTTATATATGCATGAGTTTACTCCAAATAACTATGCCGAAACATGTTTCTGCGACCTGTGAGTGACTATCAACAAGTTGTCATTAAAAAACACAAACAGTAGAACGGCCCCTGTGAGTTCCCAAGACTGTGTCTCTTTAGGAGAAGAAAGCCCAACTTGTAACCACTCTGCCACCAGGACTCCTTCGGGTGCTTTACAAGAAAAACAAAAGGGGATCCAACCAAAAC